TGGCTGGCTGGCTGGCTGGCTGCCTTGGCCTGCTGGATTGTGGGCCTCCTACTTTATAGGACTCCTAGAAAGGGCACAGGGGGAAAGAAGGGGACAAATGCATCTTTAGCAAGTGATGGTGACATGCCAGTCAAAATGTGGGCATGGATTGTGCCACAGCAGGAAGCATCAGCTTTGGGTTACGGGTTCTCTGCTGTTGCACTGATGAAGGGAGTTGCTGCTTGTGGCCTTCGTTCCCTGGCTGTCCAACAGCGCATCTTGAAAAGCTGTCTTTATCCAGCAGTCATGGGGTTAATGGGAATTCCCCCAGAGCCATGTTCAAGCATTGCATTCATACATACATTCAGCCTAATGTTAAGTTCACAAGATTTGCTCAGAGACCTCAGATATACAGATTAACAAAGTTGGAAGGGACCTTTGTAGGTCATCTAGTCCAACCCCCTGCCCAAGCAGGAGACCCTACACCATTTCTGACAGAGGGCAGTCCAGTCACTTCTTGAAAGCCTCCAGGGATGAAGTTCCCATCACTTCTGAAGGCAACTTCTGTTCTACTGGCTGATTCTTCTCTGTGTCAGGAAATTTATCCTTATTTCTGGTTTGAATCTCTCCTTGACCAGTTTCCATCCATTGTTTCTTGTCCTGCCCTCTGGTGCTTTGGAAAATAGGTTGACCTCCTTCTTCTCTGTGGCAGCCCCCCAAATATTAGAACACTGCTATCATGTCACCCCCTAATTCTTCTTTTCTCTAGGCTAGCCAAACCCAAATCCTGCAACTGTCCTTCATATGTTTTTGTCTCCAGGCCTTTGATCATCTCAGTTGCTCTTCTCTCAACCTTTTCCAAAGTCTCAAGATCTTTTTTGTAGTGTGGTGACCAAACCTATTTGCAGTATTCCAGGTGTGGCTTTACTAAAGCTTTATTGTGGTATTAATACTTCAGGTGATTTTGATTCTATGCCTCTGTTTATACTACCCAGATTGTATTAACTTTTTTGGCGGCAGCTACACACTGCTGGCTCATATTCAAATGATCATCCACTAGGACTCCAAGGTCCCTCTCACAGTTACTGTTCTTGAGCCAGCTTTTGCCAATCTACACTTAAGTCATTCATTTTTTTCCTGACTAAATGTAAAACTTTGCTTTTCTCCACATTGAAATTCATTTTGTTGGATAGGGCCCAGGGTTCAAGTCTGTCAATATCTTTTTGGATCCTTAGCTTGTCTTCTGGGGTGTTGGCTATTCCTGCCAGTTTAGTGTCATTTGCAAATTTGATGAGTCCCCCTGCTATTCCTTCATCTGTCATTTATTCTGCCCTTCTTCCTCGGTTCATGGTACCCAACAGAAACAGAGTTAGTGCCCTCAATGAGAGGCAATCACAACTCCACCTACCCCAATAATGGCATTCAGCTCCGTCATGGTCACCTGCTTGGCCCGCTCAACTGCCTGAGCCACTTGCTGCTGGTGCTGTGGAAAGACAGGCAGAAAGATGGAAGCCTCCCGAGGGCACACCTGTGATTCAGAAGTCAGCCAATTCAGCAGTTGGAGGTATTGCCCCAGAAAAAGTCCAGAGCTCTTGCCACTTGGTGAGAAAGAGAAAACTCACTGGATTCTCAAGCCACACTTTTTGAGGGTCCTTGCTTGGTCATTAAGAAAATGGCACTGACAGGGAGGGAGGAAGAAAAGGGGGGGGGAGCATCTGTGGCTGTCCAGATGGTGGAGTGCTGTGCCCCTAGCAGGCAGACTGGTGGGTGAGGGATGAGAGGAACCAGTCACAGATTTCCCAATATTGCAGCTCTATTACTACCGTGTTTCCCCCAAAATACAACAGGGTCTTATTTTCTTTTTACCTACAAAATATGGCTTGGGCATTATTATGGGGAGAGGGTTTATTGTTTTGGGGTTGCCGGGCGGCTGCTCTCTTGCAAATGGGCTCCCAAAGATCCAGGCACAGCCTCATGGGGAATGGCTGTGTTGCGCTGTCATAGCAGCGCAACACAACAGCCATGAAGCGACCACGCTCCCGAGCAGCCACCCGGCAAACCCCTTTGCAGCCATTCACTGAACTAGGGGTATCACCAAGCCGCGACAGCGCAACACAGCCATTCGCCCATGAGGCTGTGCCCGACTCTTTGGGAGCCTGCTCGCAAGAGAGCAGCTGCCCGGCAATCCGCCTCTTCAGCTGGGCACAGCGCTGCTCACCAATCTAGCAGTATTCCGAAGGCACCAAGCAACACGATCACCTTTGCCTCCCCGCAGGTTCCCGTGGCTTCGGGAAACTGCTAGGTTGGTGAGAGGCGCTCTGCCTGGCCGGAGGTGGGTGGCTTATATGTGTGTGTGGGGTGCTTATATTTTTGCCCACCAGAAAAATGTGGCATGGCTGTATTATGAGGACCTGTCGTATTTTGGGGGAAACACGGTAGCTTAGAGAGTGGAAAAATGTGCTAGACTTGGCAAGAGAAAAAGTAAATAGTGCATTAGGGCCTATAATTGGCTCAAGCCCATTGCGTCTAGTGGGCAAGTCTTTAAAACAGCAATATTTGGGGAAGGGAAGCTTAAATATCACCATCCAACATGCCTAAACAAAGAAGCTGCCCTAGAGCAAAAAGGAAGGGGGTGGAAGGGGCAGGCAGGCAACCAATGCCGCAGAAACGAAGTGGTTACCAATAGCTAAGAAGCTGGCAGATGGGGTCTCTGGGTCTTTGCCCCACACGCACCTCATTCAAGAAAACCAGGCTATTAAGGGGCATATAAAAACCAGGCTGCCATCTGGCCTGGCACAGGAAACAGACCACCAGGACTGTGACAGGCTCAGAAAGCTTTGCAAGCAGGTAGCCTTAGAAGAGGGGAAAGTGTTCCAAAGTGCTTGGTACAGAAGGGAGAGGACAGATGCTTGTCTCCAGGCAAAAGCCAAACTGGGCCCAAGACATTCCTGCCACAGGCCTGCTCCTGCCTTGCTCCTTAGGAGTGCCCAGGTAAGATGCAGGAGGCAGATTTTGACAGTGGGCGCTGTGGAAGGGCATCCCAAGTCCGGCTTAGACTTTCCGCCCTGCAAAGTCTCCCCACATTCCAAAGAGCGTCTTACCTCTTGTGATAGAAAAGGCATGATTTGGGCAAGAATCGTGTTGAGTCTCTTGGCAATCTCTGTCTGAAAGTGAGGAGAGAAAGGAAGGAGAGAATGAATCAATTGACTGTCATTGGCAACTGTGTTTTTCAGAAGAAAAAAACTTCTGGAATCAGCATTTATAAAGACTGCAAGTACTTGAAAAATGGAGTCAAACCTGGGATGGGGCATCGTTCTCAGGTCCACTTGCAGACCCCAGAAGCTAAAAATGTGCAAGCATCTAAACACACCTGCCCTCAGCCACAACCACCCCGCAGCTGGGCACTGAAATGAGCCAAGTGGAGCAGCCTTCATCCAAGGAGGTCTGCCTAAGCTTGAGAAAGTGGAGCTGTTTGTGGAAGCTCCATCCTCAGAGCTGGAGGAGCAGAGCTGCATTGGAAAAAATTACATCACGCTACGTATTACTCCTGGGATCGCCTGCCGGGTTTCAAATTGGCCGCTTCTTACAAGGCCCGGCAACAGACAACCATCTCCCGCTGCTCACAAAGCAACCAACAAATAACAATGACATAATTTTTTAAAAATCAAGATGTCTCTATTTTTATTAGTAAAAGTTGCTCTAATTAGAATAACCATAAAGGTAAAATAAATAGTATGAATAAAATGGAAATGCATTTAAAATATACAGGTACTCCTTGACTTATGAACACAATTGAGACCAATTCTTCTGTTGCTAAGCAAGGCAATCGTTAAGTGACTTTTTGGCCCATTTTATGACCTTTTTTAGCCATATTTGTTAAGTGAATCACTGCACAAGTGAATTATGCGGTCGTTAAGTGAATCTGCTTCCCCCATTGACTTTGTCAGGTGGAAGCCAGCTGGGAAAGTTGCAACTGGTGATCACATGATCCTGGGACAGGGCAATTGTCATAAATACATGTCAGTGGCCAAGTGCCCAAATTCTGGCCATATGACAATGGTAATACTACAGTGATTATATATGTGGGAAATGGTCATCAATCCCTTTTTTCAGTGCCATGGCATCTGAATGGCTGTGGTGGGAGTAAGAGCGTCCCATTCAGGAGGAAACCCCCCCCCCATTCCTATCCTTTAGCCTTGGCCAGGCAGAAGCTGCCAGTGTGGGGAGATTCCTGTGAAGTAGGCTGAGTACAATAGGAGAGCAGCTGCTTTGGACTCCATTGTGGGGACACCTGGTCGTTCATGCCTGACACTTTCTGTCCAGGATTCCTGGGGAAGATGCTTGTCTCCTGCTCAGCCTCGGCCAGCTGCCTGGCCAGAACAAGACACAAGAGCTAACTGTCGGTCAAGGCTGGGACATCTTCACCAGGAAGACTCAGATTCTGTGTCGTTTGATCTCTTCTTCTCCTTCCCGAAAGCAAAACCACTGTGTATCTGTCGATTGCTCTGCAAGGTCATTAGGAGGGAGGGAAACATATTCCCAGATGCAGAGAGGCTTGCATCTTTGGTTTGGTTTGGTTTGGTTTATTGGATTTATATGCCGCCCTTCTCCCAAGGACTCAGGGCGGCGTACAACATTA